TAAATGTATTCCTAAGTACTTTATTCTTTTTGTTGCTATTGAAAATGGAATTAGCATTTTCTTAATAGATTTTTGTATTCTTCATTGCATGTGTATAAATTGATTTTTAAAACTTGACTTTTAATCCTTCAACCTTGCTGAACTTGTTTATTAGTTGTAATACATTTTTAGTGAATTCCTTGGGATTTTTCTATATGCAAGATCATGTCACTTGTAAATAGCAATAATTTTACTTATTTTTTTTCCCTTCCTGATGCCTGTTATTTCATTTTTTGCCTAATTGCCCTTCCTAGAGCCTCCAGTATCTCCAGTAAAATGTTGAATAGAAGTAGCGAGAATGAACATCTCTGTCTTGTTTCTGATCTTAGTGTGAAAACATTCCATCTTAACACCATTAAGAATGATGTTAGCTCTGTTTTCTTTTGTAGATGCCCTTTATCAGGTTGAGGAAGTTCTCTTCTGTTCCTAATTTGTTGAATTTTATCAAATGCTTTTCCTGCCTCTATTGAGATGATGATATGTTTTTTGTCCCTTACTCTATTAATATGGGGATATTACATTAGTTGATTTTCAGATGTTGTACCACTCTTGTATTCCTGAGATAAGTCCCACTTGGTCATGCTGTATAATCCTATTTATATATTGTTGAATGTGGTTTGCTAGCATTTTGTTGAGGATTTTTATATCTGTAGTCATAAGAGATATTGGTCTTGAGTATTCTTGTAATTTTTATTTTTAATGTAGGCATTTATAGCTATGTTACTCTGTAAGCCCTGCTTTAGCTGCATCCCATTGTTGTGGTGTATCTTCATTTTCTTTCATCTCAGTGTTTTCTAATTTTTCTTTTGTCTGGCTACTTGTTCATTGCATGAATACCTTTCTACACTACCTCTGACAAATGGACATTCCATTTTTGCTTTAAATAGTTACTTTGAGGAAAAGTTCACTACTTTGTAAAGTATCCCACATTTTTAAACATCTCAATGTATCCAGCGGTCCCCTGTAAAACTCTACATGTTGTTCTAGGTTATTTCTTTTGAAGTTGCCCCAAATTAGTCTAATGCTTCTTCCATGGGATAGTTCTCTAAATATATAAACATTGTTTTCACTTCTCTAAATCTTTCTTTCAGGCTAATTATACCCCATGTTATAAACTATTCCTTAAATTTAAGGTATTATTAACATGTCCTTCATAATCTGTTTGCCCTTTTTTAAAAATTAGTATTTCTTTTAAAATTTGATGTCTCAAAGTGTAGATATCAATACTCTAGAACAGGTGTCAGCAACCTCCTATAAAGGGCCAGATACAGATATTTTAGATTTTGAGTGCCATTCAATGTTTGTCACAACTACTAAACTCTGCCGTTGTAATATGAAACTGCGATAGGCAATACAAATAATAACCATGACTGTGTTCCAAAAAAAGTATTTTTACAAAAACAGGTGTCCGGGCCAGGTTTTGCCCACAAATCATAAATTGCTGATTCTTGCTCTAGATGTTATCTAACCAGTGCAGAGCCTAGTGTGATTATATCTTCACTTGTGAATGCTATTGCATTAATGTATTTTGAAGGTTATATTAAAATATTCTGAGGGAAGTTGGGTATTATTCTCATCTTTGCTCCTCTATAGGTAAGTGTTTTTCCCCCTCTGGCTTCTTTCAAGGTTTTTTTCTTCATCTTTGATTTTTCTGAAGTTTAAATATGATATGCCTAGGTGTAATTTTGTTTAACATTTTTCCTGCTCTGTGTTCTCTGAGTTTTCTGTATTTGTGGTTTGGCATCTGACATTAATTTGGGGACTTTTTTAGTCATTATTGCCTCAAATATTGCTTCTGTTCCTTCTCTTCCCTTTTCTGTTGTTCCCATTACATAAATTACATCTATGTTATACCTTTTATAGTTTTCATAGTTCTTGGATATTCTGTTCTGTTATTTTCCACCTTTTTTCTCTTTGCTCTTCAGTTTCAGAAGTTCCTATTGACTATCCTTACTCAGAGATTTTTTCCCTCAGCCATGCCAGTCTGCTAATGAGACCATCAAAAAGCATTCTTCATTTCTTTTGTAGTGTTTTTCATCTTTAGAATTTTTTTTATTATTTCTTAGACTTTCCATCTCTTTGCTTACAATATCAGAGAAAAAAATGTCAGTATTTAGTGTGAGAACCTGTTAGAGCTCCTGGAATTAAAACTCACAAAAATGTGGGAACTCTCTGCCCCCAATGACTGGGTTCCTCTGGAGTTTTTAATTCTCAGAATTCTCCATACTGAGCCTCTAGCAATTTGAGAATTATGGTTCAGACTTTCTTTTCCCAGTACAGATTCCCCTGGAAGCTTCTGCTCTGGTAAGTTGTGATTCTCTGTCTTTATGTCTTTTTAATTTGGGGGGCAGGGGTTTGCGCTGTGACCTCGTTTCTCTGATGGATCTCAGAATTATTGATTTCTCACTTTATTCAGGTTTTTACTTGGTGTTAAGATGGAATAGTAACTTCTAAGCTCCTTAAATGCTGAACCAAAAGCCAGGTGTTTTCTTCTACAAGTTTTACATTTTTCATTAGATCTTTCATTTGTTATGATTTAATGTTTGTATTACATGTGAAGTGTGCATCAAGATAGACTTTTTCTTTTTGCATAAGACTGTCCAGTTATTTGTGGAATAGACTATTCTTTCTCTATTAAATTGCTTTTACTTTTAGATACTTGACCATATATGTGTGGGCCTATTTTTGGACTTTTCTATTCCACTATTCTATTTGTTTTTGTCCTTCCTCCAATACCACTCTGAATTGATTTACTGTAGCCTTTTAGTAAATCTGGAAATGGGTCATGTGAGACTTCCTACTTTGTTTTTGGGTTGACTCTTCTGTTTTCTGTGCTTCTCCATATAAATTTTATAATCACCTGGTCAATTTCTATAAAAAGAAAAATCCTGCTAGGATTTTGTTTGGAATTGTATTGAATCTACAGAACATTTGGGGGAAAATTAGAGAGCACTTTGGGGAAACATCTTAAAATGTTGAGTTTTTTAATTCATTCATTAACTACGGGGATATCTCAATTTGATTAGGTTATCTTTGATTTTATCAGCGTTTTGTAGTTTATGCATACAGATCTTACACATCATTTAAAATATTTATACCCAGGTATTTCATATTTTTGGGTGCTATCATGTATTATTTTAAAATTGCAGTTTCTAATTTTTTTCTAATATATAGAAATAAGATTAATTTTTGTATGTTGACTTGCAAACTGCAACCTTGCTATACCCACTTATTAGTTCTAGCAGCTTTTTTGTAATTTTTGTAATTTCCTACATAATCATATTGTCTGTAAGTATATAAAATTTTTTTTAGTTTTCCCTTTCAAGAAAAAGAGTGTTGAGAGGAAATCTTTTTGCTTTGTTCTGATCTTGGGGGTAGAAGGGGTATGGGGCTCTAAGCATTCAATCTTTTATCATTAAGTGTTAGCTGAAGGATTTTTGTAAATACACTTTATCAAATTGAAGGAGTTCCCTCTATTCCTAGTTATCTGAGAGATATTTTTTTATCATGAATGATTGTTGAGTTTTGCCAATTGTTATCTCTGTATCTATTGAGGTTTTCTTTTGCTTTTTCTTCCTTAGTTTGTTGATACGGAGAATTGCATTGATAAATCTTTGAATGTTGAACTAGCCTTCATTCCCAAAATAAACCCAACTTAGTTATGATCTTTTATTATTTTATGTATTGTTTGCTATGCTTTTTTTTTTTTTTTTTTTTGAGGATTTTGCATCTATGTTTATGAGGGATACTGGTCTATAGTTTTCTTTTACCATGTCTTTATCTATTTTGGGTACCATGATAGTTCAGTCTTCATTAAATGAGTTGGGAAGTGTTTCTTGCTTTTCTACATTTCTGAAAATTTTGTATAGAATTAGTATTATTTATTCTGTAAATTTGTTTGGTAGAATTCACCATGACGTCATCTCAGCCTGTAGATTTCTTCATTGCAAGGTTTTTAACTACATAGTCAATTTTCAAAGCATATATAAGATTATGCAAGTTATAATTTTTTAAGATAAACTTTGACAGTTTATATATCTCAAAGGTTTTGACAATTTCATCCAAGTTATTAAACTTAGGACATAGAGTTGTTAATTTTATTTCTGTATCATTAGTTCAGTATCTATAGGATCTATAGTGGTGTCCCATCTTTCATTCCTGATACATGTAACTTTTGTCTTCTTTTTTTCCCCTTATTCAGTCTAGCCAGAGGTTTATCAATTTTTTTAATCAACAATAGTTATTATAAATACTCATTATGTATCATACACCTTTTTAAAAGAGCTTTGTTTATATTCTATTTGAATATTCAAGAGTCTATAAAATATTTTCCACTGTTATCCTCTTTTATAGGTTAGTAAACCTAGGCCTCGATATGTTATGAAACTCACCTGCTATATGATAGCCAGAATGAGAAGTCCAGGATTCAAATCCAAGTCTGGGTGACCCCAGAGGCTTTGCTTTTGCCACTCTGTTTTATTGATTGGTATAAAGGATGAATTAAAATCAGATAAGACATATGAAGAGAATCCTCAGTGACTGGGAGCAAACTTTTCTTTTTTGACTGTAATATCCACTGTTCTCTGTCTTTGGACCTTTCTCTGTAAATAGTACATAGTACTAAACCTCTTGTCGTAAGATCTCTGGAGATTTGTTTGCTCCTTCTAAAGTTTAGACCACTCAGTGAGGGTTCCTACCAAGGACAGACAGATAATTTGATGACTTTGGGTTGCTACAAAATACTCAGTAATGCTTGTTAGGTTTTTAGAACATAGGGTATTCCAAGACCTAGTGACAACCTGAAATAGTTGTCCGGATGCCATCCATTCTTGGTAGAGTACAAATAAAAGCCTTGACTCTATGTCCTTTCCTGCCCTTTAAAATGTAGGTATTTATTCCCTTTCATAGGTATAAGATACCTTTTGAAAATAAAAGCTAACACAGCCTGCTTGTTTCCTTAGGTCTGACGGTAACTGCTGTAAAAGACTCAGGAGAATGGAATTTGGAGGCTGGAGCATTAGTGCTTGCAGATGCAGGTCTTTGCTGTATCGATGAGTTTAATAGCCTCAAAGAGCATGATAGAACCAGTATCCATGAAGCCATGGAGCAACAAACCATAAGTGTTGCTAAGGCTGGGTAAGACTTTCTTTTCTTTAGATCTATTTGAATTGTGAGATTAGTTAATATATGATTATGGAAAAATGCAAACCTTATTGAACTGTAAGGTGTTTTTGTCCCTCTCAGGGACTGTCAGTTATCACCCTTCAAGACACATATTAATTTTCCCATGGAGGCGAGCAAGAGCAGTAAAAATGAGTTGGGAAGAAGAAAGGGAAAACTAAAGTGTAAATGTAAGTTGATTTAATTCATGGAGGGAACTTAGGAAGAGCTTTCAATTTAGGCTTCAACCTGTTATCTCATTCAATAATTGTGTGTCTACTCTGGGTATTTTATTATGTTAGGAATTTTGAAAGATTCTAAAAGACAAAACATAATGTCTGCTTTCAGTGGTATTCTCCTTATGTCTTTTTCCCCCCCTAATATATTTGAATGGAAGGTTGATTACAGCATATGGAAAACTAAAGAATAGTATATATTAGCATAAGATGAAGTACTTGTTGTGACTCAAGGAGGCTCAAGGGTTGAGGTATGTGAGTCCTTGACTACACATGGCCAATAAGAAAAAAATAGGCAGGTTCAAATAAAAATCCAGGTCCTGAGGTGATTATGAGAAACTTACTTGGCTACAAAGGCTGACCCCCAAAAAGGCTGCCAGGTCATCCAAGCAAAGAACAGAGGCAGAACTATCTCATCCCTAATGCTGCTATTATAGGTCTGAGGCCAGCTGATCAGGTAGATAGGTCTGCTAGCAGTCTTCAAACTAATGGTTACTTGGGAGCCAGGCAGACAGACACTGGTGTTATAGATTATGTGAGATCTGTTTATATACACTCACAAAAAAGGAAAGGGGTGGGGGGGTGAGGCTATAGCCCAGAGGGAAAAGATAAAAGAAAAACTAGACAGAACTATTATCAGATCTATTCATTTTCCTCAATATTTATTCACTCAGTATGTATTTATCAAGAACCTGCTATATGCCAGGCACTGTGCTAGACACTGAGAAGTCCAAAGATGAATACAACACTGTCCTTGAAGTATTTACTATTTTGTTGGGAGAGATAGACACAAGAGCATCAAAGTGATAAGTCCATAATAAAAATATTATGAGAGAACATATTTTAGAATCATTAATGCTTCAAAACTACTTATCAGGGGAAATCGGACGTAATAGTTTACTAAGTGTCTTCAAGGCTACTTTCTCTTCTCATTATATCTTCATTTAATTAGTACTTTGCTAGTTGGTAGAATCTGTGGTTTATTTTTATATACCTTTTCCAGAGGAAATCTGGGACATTTTGAAAGATTCCTAAATAATGCTGGCATCAGGGAAAATTGAAACAAATGCTGTGATTGTATTTTAGAAAGGGAGAACATTGGCAGTGCTGTATGATGGGCTACAGAATAAATCTTTATAAGTGAAAACATCCTATTAACTATACTACTCCTGCCTTTACCCTCTGCAAGTGGGAGTTAGTAAGACTCCTCCATGCTATCCATAAGTATGTCCTAAATTCCAAAAGAAACATTCTTGTAGATGAACAGTTCACTTGCGACACCCACTGATTGGACACTCTTGTCGTAGCTATGACTACTTTATGAACTGGAACAGTGCTTTTCACACTAGTTATGGTGAAGGGCTGCTAGGGTCATGGGATTAGCAAAAGCAGTATATTTTGATGATTGGAAGATAATTTGGGGGATATTCAAAGTAGATATAATATAGCAGCTATATTGACTCATTGCCACCTTAGCAACAGAAGTATGTTCTCTTCAAACCTGCTTTCCCATCATTGTGACTTGGATGCTTTCTCTGTCACTGATTTTTGCTTGTGTTTGTGGATCTTTTAGACTTGGTCAGCTCTCTTTAGTAGTTCAACTCTCCCTCTTGTGTTCATGCCAAGTATCCTCAAAAGAGGCCTAGTTAGATACCGCCATCCCTATTGGAAGATTTATGCAAGACCAGCTCAGAGGCCTCTGGCCAGTTTATGGATTGACTCCCCCAGAGTCAGGTTCCAATCGTGGGTCCAGTGTGCTGTTCTTGTCTGGCAGTTTACAGGGAAGAGGTTGTAGGGTTATGTGTGTGGTGGGCATTCCAGTGGTTGGCCTGTCCAGGACTGTAACGAATCACTTAAGGAATGTACCAAAGAAAGAGTCATACAGCAGTTGTCCTTGCTGGTAGGTTAGTCATTGCTGGTAAACAATAGTTTAGACGAAAAGATAGAATAGCCTGGTGAATCAATATAAATAGGAGCTAGCTCTTTATGAGAAAACTCTTGAACTCGGTGGGTTTCAAAGAGGCAGGGTTTTTAAAGACAGTAAGTATTCAGTCACATGTGCCTAGCTTGGTTCAGCTCTCTAGTCATTTTTACAATTTTTCCCCAGATCATAGTTACCACCAATTATATGACTTTTTTCCCCTCCATTCAAGTTGTCCTTTAAATTTTGTTTTTTGTTTTTTAATTTTTATTTTGACATTGTATTTACTTACAAAGAATTGTAAGAGTAGTACATGTTGTTTTTGCTCTTGGGCCAGCAGTTAAATGTGCCCTCAATCAACAGTTACATCTAATCCACTTGGTGGTGAGAACCAATGAAAATATTCTTTAAGTTCCACTTTAGCTCATGTGTTCATTCTTCATAGCCCTTACTCTGTGTGCCACTCTACGACTGAAGAAAAGTTGGATCTGCCTCCCAGCAGCAGCTCATCTAATTTTTTCGCTAACAGTTTTCAGAATATAAATTCATTTCCCCTAATTAGAAGCCTTTTAATCTTTCTGATGCCAAGTATACAGTTAATCGCTAAATGTAGAACCCTTGAGAAAATGTCTCTTGAGTCATAAAGCATATCAGGATGTTAATTAGTAGCAGGTAAGAAGAGTTAAGTGTGGAAAAGGAGTACTTATCATGTATTCTGCCAAAGTAAAATAAAGACTGAATTTTCCCCTTAAAATGCCTTCCCTACTCCCCACTCCCCAGTTCAAAGACTTCTCTTTTTTGACCAGCAATACAAAGTCTCCTGTGCCCTAAAATTGGAGACTTTCCTTGAGCCTTCACCCTCTAGCACCACTTCAAGTTTTTCATTGAGATTTTTGATACTTTGCAATATCATTTTCAGGATCTCTTGATTTTTTGGCTTTTTTTTCTCTCTCTCTCACATGTCTCAAGTGACTAAAGTCTGATTCATTTGTAAAGGACTTTTATTTGAATTATAATCTCCCTATGGATGATAGTGTAAACCACTGCATCGGAACATCTGGCTGGCCTCTGAGGCTGCAAGGAATTTCTCAGATATTTTTTAATGTGTCATTTTATATACACTGTACAGAATTAGAGAGTTCATTTAAAAAACAGGAACCATGCATGTAATTGTTCCATACAAACTGTTTTTTGAATAGAGGTTAAACTTTATCCATGTGGTGGACATGTTCCTGGAAGGGCATATCATAAGCCATACACCCACCATTCAGATGTGTGGGTGGCTGGGAAGGAACCAGTTAGTATGATTTCTACAGTGTAAAAGCTTGTTATGGGTAGCCAGAATAGAAAAAAAAAAAAAGCTAAAATACTTGGGATGCCTAGAGTCTGCTAAAATATAACTTACAGTGTCATTAACCAAAATATAGGTCGTATTAAATCAGTGCATGTTTGAGAAGACCGATAATTTTGTTCTTTGCTTATGTTACTTAAGTCCGAAACCATTTTTAAAATTTGGGGTTTTTAATACTTTACATTTGTCCTGGCTACTTAATGAAATAGAAAAGGAAACCAAGAGGCAAATGCTGCAATATGGGCTTAAAGGGATTATCAGTATTTGCCTTTACCTGTCTGTTAAAACTGTGCAGATCAGTCCCCGTGCCGGGGCAGTGGCAGGCAGCACAGGGCCACGCCGCAGCGTGGAGTCACGGGGGAGAGCTTTATGTGATGATGATCGTTAAGACTAGAATGCTGACCTACGTAATGATTTGGGAAAGGTAATGGTTCATTATCTGCAAGGTTCTTTTCAAACTTAACTAGGATAGCACCTCATCAAGGGCAGGATATCAGTAGACTCTTAAATAATAGGGGAGACTCTCACTATTTGCCAAAGACACATCTTAGGAGAAAATTTGACATTGCAGTTGTGTATTTGGTGTGACTAAATTATACTTATGCCTAGGGAGGGAGTGTAGTCTCAAATTTAAAAACAGCAAGATGGCAGTTTTTTGTCTTACTCAGTAAACATGCCTGAGCACTAGCAGTGTCCTGCTTTCTGCTGGCTGCTCACACCGCAGAGATGAAAAGGCAAGGCCTTTGTTCTCACGGTGCTCACAACCTGGCAGTGAGGCAGACAGAGAACACTTATTGTGCGCTGTGGTTCTAACAGCCGTAGAAGAACCACGGCACCAGTCCCACTCGGCTGTTCTTCAGTTTTCTAGTCCACACCAGGCCACTGATAGAATCTCTGAGACGGGACCTGGGAACCTGTACTGTCAAAACCTACCTGGGTTCTCATGGAAGAGGCAGGCTTAGGAACCACAGCTCCAGGTGAGATTGCTCCACAGCCAGGCGCCCTGTTTGCGTTTCCCTCCCAGGATCTTGTGAAGCTGCATCTCTGTGGCATCTTTCACAAACCATCCTCAGGCCGAGGGGGGAGGCCGGGAGAGGAGGCAACCAGCCCCTCTACCCAACCCCTGAGAGGGCTCTGATTCCTGGGGCCTGAAGGGACTGTGGAACATGAGAATCCTGCCTTGGAGGCCTCTAAGCATGCTCCCAAGATAGGAAAATATAAGTTCAGATCAAGCACTTTGAGAGTTTTCTGTTCTTTCCAGATGAAGTAGATGAGCAGTGCTTTCACCCCTCTCCTCTTTCCTATTCCCGTTGCTTGTGAATCTCCTGTTATCACTCACTGAGTCAGTCTAGACATGAATGGTAATTGTGAACTTTATCAGCCCTGTTAAAAAGAGAGGAAGGGTGTATGTCCCAGCATGTTAGATTACCAAAAATATGTGTATAATGGATTATGAGAATATCACTAATACTGATATGTTTTTACTTTGTGTAGTTTTGTGGGGGGGGTTACCCCCATTTTTTGCATGCTCCTCTTTAGGGGAGCAAAGATTGTTTTTGATTTTTTTTTACAAACATGCCACTTATTTTGATTCTTTTCTCTCACTTTTTCCTCATGACAGCTTTGAGCCTGAAACCATTTTTAAAATTTGGGATTTTTAATACACTTGTCCTGGATGCTTAAAATCCACCCTTTTAAAGGATACGATTTCATGGACATTAGTACATTCATAGAGTGTGCAACTATCACCACTATCTAATTCCTGAATATTTTCATCACCCCAAAGAGAAATCTCGTAGCCTTTAGCTGTCAGTCCTCATTCCCTCCATTCCCCATCTCCCCAGTCTCTCAAGTCCCTGGCAATACTCTGTCTCTATGGATTTGCCTATTCTGGACATTCCATATAAATGGAATCATACAAGATGTGACTTTTTGTGTCTGGCATCTTTCACTGGCATAGTGCTTTTAAGGTTCATTCAGGTTGTCGCATGTGTCAGTAGTTCATTTCTTTGTATGTGCTCACACAGCTTTTCCCCATGCATGAATGAGCAGAGAGTGAGCTGTGGTCTCCCTTCTTCTTTTTATGAGGACATAAATCCCATTATGAGCACTCCACCCTCAGACCTCATCCAAACCTAATTTCCTAAGGCCCCAATTTATAATATCGTCACATTGGTCATTAGGGTCTTCAGCATAACTAATTTTGAGGGGACACAAACATTTAGTCCATAACAGCCTTCATTACTTTCTTTTTTTTATTGTTGTTAAAAAACACATATCATAAAATTTACCATCCTAATTATTTCTATGTATATAGTTCAGCACTGTTAAGGATAATCACATTGTTGTGCAAGCAATCGTCAGAGCTTTTTCATCTTGCAGAAATGAAACTCTGTATCCATTAAACAACAATTTGCCATTTGCACCTTTCCCAGTCCCTGGCAACCACCTTGTTACTTTCTTTTTCTGTGAATTTGATGGTTGCACAGGATGGTTACCTGACCTGAAAGTAGCATAAGTTCTTTTACCTTCGCTCCATTGCCTAGACTTAGTATTATAGCCCTACTTAACTGTAAAGGGGGATAGGAAACATAATCTTGCTCTGTTACCAGGGGGAAAAGAAATAAGGTTTGGTTGAACATATAGCAGCTACCACCACAGTCCAGAGCTAAATTTGCAAGTGACAAAATGTAGGTGACTACAGCCATGAGTGAAGATTGGGATCACCCGTAAAGGATGTAGTGAGAGACTGTCTCAAAAACAAGGGCACCTTCTGGAGGGCCTGTAATGCTAAAAATAATTTATGTAACCTAACTGTACAATATTTAGAAAAATTACTACTATGTTTGTAGGAAAGCTAACCTATGTAGATTAAAAATGGGACAGTAGTTTTTTTGAGAAACGAATGTTTTCACTCCAAATTAACCAGAAAAAAAATATTAGCATGATTATTTTATGACTGTTGAAGCCTGTGAATATAAAATAATTCTAAATTTTAGAAATACTGCAAAAAGGTTTATTTTTTTGTCACTTATTTAGTGTATGTTTATTGAGCGTTTAATATGTGACAGGCAATGTGAGGATTATAACAATAAGTGACAGTCCCGCAAGGAAGATGAAATTTAATAGGAAAAAAGTAAGGTAAGTAAATTAATGCCTACAACATCAGGCATAATCTTTAGGACCGCAGGAACTGTTTATCTAAAATGTTTCACCACCGGGGCAGTAGTCTGGAGGTGAAAGACATTGGTTTTGGGGCTAAGCACATCTGGGTTTGAATCTCAGCTCTGCTGCTTTTGCTTGCTCTCTGTAACCGTGGGGACATTATTCACATTTCTGAAATTCTGGCTTCCTTAATTTCTGAATTGGTGTTAATAATATAATGTCTGCCTTTTAGGTGGTTGTGTAGATTAGGGATACTTGTATATATAAAGCCTAACACAGTGCTTGGTGTTCCAGATTTGGTAGAAAGCTTTACTATTATTATTGAAGGTGGAGAACATTGCCTTATACTAATTTGTGAGTTAATTCACTCAGTACTTATTTAGTGAGCCATCAGTGGGCAGGAAGCACTTAGAATCAGACTGTGTCTTTGTATCTGTGTCTTCAAAAGCCTTATTCAGTTCTGGACGCAGTGATGTTTGTATCACAGGTCTGCACCCCCAGGCTTATCTATACTGTCTTCCCTTCTTTCAGATGACCAGAGACCACCCCGCCCCTCTTGGCGCCGTCCCGTGCTCTTTCTTTGCTGGGGCGGCTGCCTGCCTTATCCCCGCACACGGTTTCCGCTTCCCGCCCACCCCTTTTTCAGAGCTGGCGCGGCCACTGCCTGCCCCAGGCAGCCGGCTCACTCCTCTGAGACTCTCCCTTGGCCCCTTCCTTAAGCTTATTCTTTTTCTTTTCTTTTTCAGTTACTTGAGGAATGATTCCCCACCTTCTTTCTCTCCTTGCTAGTTCATTTTCCTTCTCACGCCACGGACTGCGTTAGGCTCAGATGCCTCGCAGACACCAGGAGTCTCCCCAGAAGCCTCCCTTTGCCGACGCTGACGCCGATGCCCCCCGAGCACTTGCACTGCCTGCGGGCTCCGTGCAGAGCTTCCTCACCCTCCAGCACTCCTACTCAGCTAGCTGGAGGCAGCGCGCAGCTGTGTACATTCCTGAATTCTCCACACACCTCTTTGTACACAGGAAATGGCTTGTAAATATTTATTGACCAGAGAGGAAGAGCAGTCAATTAATTTTACATTCAGAATAATTTTAAAGAAGTTATTTCATATGCAGTTGTATTTTATTTCATTGCCAGTATTGCCACAATATTCCTTTTTGATGATAAATGCAAACAGCCTCACTACAATATGAATTAAATGTGCTTTTGTGGGATTAGTTAGGAACCATTTATTACATTATTTTTATGGCAAGCTAGATTCTACCTTTACAAAATCATTTGGCACATAATGTAGAAGACGTGGACTGTCNAACCATTTATTACATTATTTTTATGGCAAGCTAGATTCTACCTTTACAAAGTCATTTGGCACATAATGTAGAAGACGTGGACTGTCTGTCCAGAATTTTTACATTTCAGTAATTTAAAAGGGGATTGTGTTTTCAGTGAAAGTGTCTTGAGTATCTTTCTCTTCTTTGGGTGTTTACTTGTGCCATTTACCGCAAATTAAGATTCTCAAACTTTTTCAGTCTTAGGGCATGAGGTAATTGCTAGAGCCAGCTGGAAATAGATCAGGGATTAACAAATGTAGCACATGTTGGCTGATGCCACAGGGCTATGACTGCTGAGAGGCAGACATGCCTTTATAATTAAAAACAGTCATCAACTGCAGAGCATACAAATTTATAGAGGAAAAATTTTACATTTTTTATTGTCAGTGCCTATGCCATATTATCTTGAGGACTTGCCCATCATTAATAAATAAAAAACAATATCTAAATTTTGGCATATCCATACCTATCCTGCCACTGTCCATTTAGGACTTGGCGCCTCTTCCTAGACCACTGCCCTCGTCTCCTCCATGTGCCCGTCCCCGGTCCTCCCCCATCTAACCCACCCACCATTCCCAGTCCCCTTCAATCTTCCCTTCTCTGTTACTCCTCAAAAACTTGATGCTAATCAGCCTTTATTTTTCCTGATTTCCCCTGCTTCCTTTCCTCCCTTCCTTCCCTCCCTCCATCTCTCTACTTCTATTTTTTGTTTCTTTCACTTTTAGAAAAATCAAGACAAAGTGACACAAAGTTTTTGCTTCAAGCACTCACGATTCTCCAAAATCACCCTCATCCTCCACCTTCATCTTCTGCACACATATATGTATATATATGTCTCCACTTAAAAAAGTCCGTATGTCATGAAGGGTCTAGTTCCAAAGCTACTTCGTAGTGTTTTTCTGATCATCTCTTCCATCCACATAGATGAATAGATATCGTCTTTACTTCTCCTGGGACCTTTATACTTCTAGAACTTACCGTATTCTTCTTTGTCTTACTATTATAGCTAGGAGATTGCAAACTCCTTAAGAGCAGTATCCATGTTTGGTTTGTTTTGTGTACCTCTTAGCACCCAGCAGAGGGATGTGCTCATAGGAGTGTCAAAAAAGTGTTCACGAACACTTATTTCTCTGCAAGATAAGCTGGTGTAAATGTACTTTGTTGAACTTGGTGTTTGTGATACCTCCTTGTATCATTCCACTTTCTCTTTCACATGAGTTTCTCTAGATTCCCAAGGAGCAAGAGCAACCCCTTTTCATTAAGTTTAATATTGTTTTTTATTTGCATCTCAACAGTCAGTGAATTGTACCCTCTCTTTTGGTAGCCTTGTGTGCAAGCTGAACACAAGGACCACCATCCTGGCAGCAACTAACCCCAAAGGCCAGTACGACCCCCACGAGTCTGTGTCTGTGAACATCGCCCTTGGCAGCCCACTCTTAAGTCGATTTGACCTGATCCTGGTTTTGCTTGATACCAAGAATGAAGACTGGGATCGTATAATTTCCTCCTTTATCTTAGAAAACAAAGGTAGGTGGAGACAAATAAATTATTTACAAAGAAAAAAGGTAGGCACAGCCAAATGAAATTCTCTTTGAAGAAATTAAATAAATACCCAAGGTACCCTACCTAACAGACAACAGAGAGATGCTTAGACTGAAAGCAATGGGACTAGTGAGCCCAGAATGATGAGCAGAAGGTAAGGGGCCTTTCTGTCTGCCGTTGATGGGATTATGGTTGTGAAAATGTTTTTGTGATGAAAGGGGACAATCTTATGATATATAATTATTACTCACCTCTTACACACAAAGAAAACTGGACTGAATTATGAAACAAATCCAAATATGGGTTTATCTTTAAATTCAATTCAATTTACTCAAGTATTATTTAATCCTATAGGGCAGACCAGAATTATTCTGAGTAATTTTAACCCCTGTAGGAAGCTTACCTTTATTAAGCTTAGATCCTAAGACTGTTTGTTCTAGAACTATATGCTACACAGAGTCAGGTCTAGATTTCAATGGCCACAAAACCTAACGGTTATCTTTTTAAAAATAAGTAAAAGAACTTCATCAAAACCCTTAAAATGAGATGTTTGCCTGTTCTTAGAAGTTACTGACCAACACCTGCTATATACAGGTTACCCAAGCAAATCAGAGAAGCTCTGGAGCATGGAAAAGATGAAAGCCTACTTCAGCCTCATTAGGAATCTTCAGCCCACGCTGTCTGACGTGGGCAATCAGGTTCTTCTCCGGTACTACCAAATGCAAAGGCAGAGTGATTCCCGGAACGCTGCCCGGACAACCATCCGTCTGCTGGAAAGCTTGATACGATTAGCAGAAGGTTTATTTCATTCAACAAATGAATTTTCTATCGGGTACCCAGCATGTTCAAAGCATGGGGGTTGGCACCATGAACTCAAAGAGGAGTGACAATAATCCCTACTCTGAGATGCTCAAGTTGCTCATTGAAGTAAAGGCTCTGAGCCATGAAACCTCTCTTCTGGGACATTTATGGGTGTTGAGTGAAATGTGGTGTCATTAAGAAAGAGGCATCTTTGTGGTATCTCAGGACCTCCTATAACTTAAGACCATTCATTTAGAAAGTCTCATTTACTGAGGTTTTGTTTCTCAATGGCAGTCTATTAGCATTTTGGCTGAGATACTGCCGTGTTTGGAATTGTTTCCTATATAGCAACCCACCAGTAATATATGACATCAAATTTATAAGGCCATGCTATCCATCCCTGAGGTATGAGACTCACATGCAGACTTGTAGCTAGCATGCGTCTCAAGATGTTTTGTTTTTTTAACACTGGCTTTTACATTTAGCCCTTGTTTAAATAATTTAAAAAAAAATTAACATGAACTGACTGTACCATATGATAACATAGTATATGCTTCATAAAAAGTTCTATAAAACAGATGCACTTTACTTCTTTAAGGATTTATAGCTAATATTAGGGCAAGAAATACCAAAATTTTACATTCACAGGTTTGATAGTTTTAAAAAGCTCACAGATAAAGAAAATTGCCAGAGATGAGAAATGAGTTTAATTTTGTGTATTTCTGTAATAGACTAGAAAGTGAGGATTAAAAGTTGTTGAATATTGATATATGCTTATATAGTCCCTTTCTTTACTGGAGCCCAGAGTACTTTTCGTATAAATACACAGAGTTGCCGTGCACTGTGCACAAGGATTAGGCCCTTTTTTAGAAGGACAGTCTTAAAGCGAGGTGGACTTAGACTTCGTGCTTGTTCTGGTGAAATTAATTTTTATTAGTAGATCATTCATAATAGACAATTTTTTGGAGGAAGATCAGGTAGAGTACTACATTTATCACCTCACATATTCATTTTAAAATGTTCTATCTTTATAATTTTAAATGCACTTTATTTTCTCAGCTCATGCTCGCCTAATGTTTCGTGAGACTGTGACTCTGGAAGACGCAGTTACAGTGGTGTCAGTAATGGAGTCCTCAATGCAGGTGAGAACATTTTGTAGTAATATTTGAACTGTAATTACAAGCATTAAATAAAAGACAATTTATAGCATATCAGGAGTTATTAAAATGATCATATTCTAGACCTAATAATTCCTAGAAATATAGCCAAAAGAAACCATTTAAAAGAAGGGGAAAAAATTGTCATTGACACATTCTCTGCACCAGTAGCATTGCTTTTGCCCATCAGTGTAAAGTAGTGGGTCTCAATCCTGTTTCTCCTTGACACACCTGAGGGATGCTCACGGTCCCACTAGTGAGAGCATGGCTTCCCAGAGCAATGCTTGCCAGCAAGAACAGGGAGAAGACTAATGAAATTTGAAAAAGGCTCCCAGGCGATTCTAATTTCAAGGTGGGGTTGTGGAGGGTTGGTCTTAGCCATCTGGGATCAGTGGTCCCTCGTGTGTACTTCCTTTATGCAGGCTGGCCTGGTGACTCTCCCTGGCATTCTCCATTTCTCACCCTTCAGGGAGGTGCACTGCTGGGAGGTGTGAACGCACTCCACACTTCCTTTCCTGAAAACCCTCTGGAGCAGTACCGGAGGCAGTGTGAACTTATTCTGGAGAAACTGGAGCTGCACAGCCTCCTGAGTGAAGAGCTAGGAAGACTTGAAAGGTGAGAAAAGAAAACCAAGAAAGTCATGTAATGGAAAGTCTTTATTTCACATTTAGTGAAATAAAGGAAGTATAAATTAAGTGGAAAATCTGTCTGTGCTATCTGTAGGGGATTGTTTGTTATCTATTGCTATATAATCAGCTACCCCAAAATTCAATGGCTTAAAAAAAGAGATACCACCTTCATTCTAGTGCTCACTTTTCTGGGAGTTAGAAATTCAGGAGGGCTCAAGGGGATATCTCTAATCTACATAGTGTTAGCCAGGGTTACTTATACACCTGCATTTAACTGGGAGCTCAACTAGTTTTGGAACATCCAAGATGCTTCCGTCACCTGTGTGGTGTCTTTGCTGGGGTGGCTTAAATGGCTGGGGGCTGTCTGGGCTGTCTGCTGTAGGGTAGTCAGAATTCTACCATGGTAGCTTAGGACTCCAATACAGCAAGAGTGTGAGCTGCCAGGCCTCCTGCGGGCTGGGCCAGGATTGGAGCAGCCTCACTTCTGTCACATTCTGTAGATTAGAGCAAGTCGCAAGGTCAGCCCACAGGCAAAGTAAAGGCAAATAGACACCACCAGTTGATGGGCATTGTGGCACATAGGAATGGGGGAACTGATGGCTGCCATCTTTGGTGACTACCTTCCAAGGCTACATTTATTTTCCTGCCTTGCTGGTTTGGTGAACCTCACGGAGAACACTGACTGGTTCTTTACTATATGTAGTAAACTATATATAAATTTACTATATATAGTAAAATGTATAATACTGGCTCTCAATTACATGAGAAGCACCAAGGTAAGCTACCTGCAGTTCACACCCAAGATGCACAGTTGCTGCAGAATCAAGACACCTTGGTGAGTGGGCTTTATCATGTTTGCTTCCACCACTTCTTCCCCTTTTTCCTTGGCTCGCTACACAAAGGAGAGCAATGCCCTCACAGAGCCGGCTGGGACTGCTGTTGAGAAAGAGGAAGTTGGACTCCAGGAGCCATCTATGCCAGGCCAGACCCAAACACAAAGTATCTACTTGGCCTTACCCCTTTTCTCACCAAGGGGGGACAACATGCGCAAGGGAGTTTACATAAAGAACCTTAGTGTTTATTAATATTTTAATGTTATTCCTGTTGTTTTTAAAGCTTTCTTCCAAACATAATAAATATTTGATCGTTAGTCCTTATGTTACCCTGGTGAAAGAAATTCACAGGTAGAAGACTGAAGCGCCACTGGTTTTAGGCCAGCCTAAGCTAGTATGCAGGGCAAGTTATAGGAACAGAGATAACTAGCACTCACCTCTACCTGGGAAAGGCCCTCCTGGTTCCTTAGCAGCAGTTTTCCTTTCCTGAATGCCCAAATTCATGACCTTTAAAAACTTGCATATTTAACAATAAGACTCAAAAAATCCCTAGTGAGAATGATGTATTTTATGTTAAAGAGGGAGATCATCCTACAGGGTAACAACTCGGGAATGACAATGGCAATGTTCCAAAACTCACCTTTCTAAGGACTTGTTAAAATGTGGACATATGGGAAGGACTTTGTCACATGCATCACCTGAAGAATTGTTGCCAGGAATTTAATGTTACATGTCCCTAAATATATGAGCTTCTAAAAACCTAGACTCCTGAGTCTGTGCCTGTGAAACAGGAGTGAGGAATGGCAAGTGTAGCCATTTGGGTATCTTCCTGGTCAGTTGTTGATGGTGATCTCAAAGCTGGGGTCTGGGGAATGGAGCCCATGTGGAAATGGAACAGCTGCAAGAGAGTGTGGGGACCACTTTGGATTGTTGCTGTATTAAGTAAGACCTTGAGAATTCTTTTCCTGGCATTCTCTCCTATTTGCTTCTTCCCTTCATCCAACGGCATTCTCTTTCTAATTTATAAAACCTCAGCACAGCCTTCCCGGGGAAGTGTGGGCCTGGCTTTGTCCTACTAATACACCAGGTGGCAGCCTGCAGTAAACTTGCACTTTGTATAAAATCAGTCCCCTTCTTTTGGTCTCTTGGGTTTTTTTTAATGACCCAGAGCATGGTGTTAAGGTAAAAGTTATTCCTTTGGCTCTTTTATGGTTTGATATAGCAGATCCTTTCCAGGCCTGCCCTGGGCTTGGCTTGGCTTGGCTTGGCTTGTGGAGACACAGCTCATTTTGACTGACCAGAAACTGATCATTTTGACGACCAAAAACATGCTAGATTCAGGAAGGGAAGGAATGCAAGGCTCAGAATCAGTGTCATGTGATAGAAAAATAGCAATTGGACTTAACCAAATTCAGAATGACTCTCCTGCAAGGCATAAAGAAAAAAAAGAGTAAGTAATGATCTAGGAAATAGGATTGGGCCTTAAAATGTTCTTTTTTTCTGGTATCTCTTTGTAATGCAGAGGCCTATTGGATAGTGATCCTCAAAGAAACAAAACCAGGTGCCCCCAGATGGAAGTGCATTACCTCTAGAACACAACCTAAAGCTAACTTAACAGTGAGAAAACCCTGAGTAGCATATGGGTTTACCCCCTTTGGAAAGAGTTCTCTATTGCTTAAAGAGATCACATATCAATCATAAAACTATTTGTATTTTTATCACATTTTTCTTCTGGAAAATGCTTTTAGTGACATCCTTGCCTCTACTGGTGGCTATTCTACCTACCTCGAATCAGGGTGCAAAGATGCTGTCTTCTAGGGAGTTATAGTTAAACTGCAGACATTTTATTATATAGGGGAGAATTTAATTCCCAAAGTCAGAATTAGACTAAAATGGTAAGCTAAATTATTATCCTAGCCCTGAAAATTTCCTACCTTTTAGGACTTTGTTATGGAGCTTTAATAATTACTAGTATTCCTGACCTCAGTTTGCTGCTGAAAGTATACTAGGTAGTAGTAATTTTTTAAAAATATATCTTTATTGATTTCAGAGAGAGAAAGTGGGGGAGAGAGAGAAAGAGAGAGAGAGTTGAAACATCAATGATGAGAGAGTTGTCACTGATTGGCTGCCTCCTGCACACCCGACTGGGGATCAATCCCGCAACCCGGATATGTGTCGTGACGCGAATCGAACCGCGATCTCCTGGATCCTAGGTTGATGCTCAGTCACTGAGCCACGCCCAGCTGGGCTACATGGTAGTAATTTTGAAAGCTATTTGTTTTTTGGGGGTTTGGTTGGTTGGTTGGTTGGTTGCAACTGCAATTAAACATGGATTTACTATAGTGATGTTTCCAAATCTAGCATGTGTGAATGTAACCTAATATAGTTTCAGTAAAATTGTTGGGTTTTTTTCCTGATTCTAAGAGGTAATATATGTTCTTTATAGAGTATTTTTAAAAGGAACAGTAATGAATTAATAAGAAAACAAAAATCACATATAATCTTATTTCCCAGAGAGATCTACCATTAACATTTTAATGTATTTACAACATTAAAATTTAAAATTCATTTAAATTTAATATATTTTCTTCTATTCCTTTTTCTGTGATCACATATTTTTAGAATAGTTTATTCACCTGCTTTTCTGTGTAATTCCTTTTCAGATTTAGTACATGGAAGCAGGGTCATGTTGCCCTGATGCTGAAAATGTGTTTCTAGGTTGTTAGGCAGGAATTTCTAAAGGACCTTCTTTGAGAAACTACAATTTCTGTGAGAAATTGAGCCTCTGGCTTTAATTCTGTTTCTAAAATGCACAAGATTTAAAATGGATAGCACTGATCATTCAGGGAGGGTCACTAGGTTTTGATCTGTATCAACTTGATGGAGAGTAGCTGCCCAGAGCACATTTGAAACAGCGCTGGGCTTTGCAGGAAAGCTGGCACAGTTGCCTGGGGAAGGTCTGCCAGGAATGTGAACGTAGGAGCCATGGGTACAGAGGAATCACAGTTTCTCCTCTTGAGGAAGGTGACCTTTTAGGCGCACTAAAATTCAGTACCTCAGTTAGGTAAAGAGATGTGAGAGATCATAATTTCTAGTTTTCCACTTTGGTTCTGATCTGCAGACTTGCTACTAAGCAACTAGAACCACTTTTTAAATCAGCAATAAGCTATCGTGCAGATAGTTAAAAGTCTGTCTTATGAGTGAGCGTTTTACATCGACCTCCAAACAGCCTTAAATGAATTAAATAGTCTTTCAGGGAGAAGGAAAATGTAGACAAACCTGCTACTTCATTTTCTTTTTTTACTTCAGTTTAAGGTAAAATTAGAATGATAATCGGATCATTTAAATTCTATTCTGATGAAAAAGGATAATTTGGTGTTAACTTGGAATTATATTGGACTTATCCCTTTAGATGGCATCTCAGACACTAAAGAAATAAAAAGGGTAAAGCAAATTTCCTTCCCTTTGATACATATTTTTCTTATTTCTGCTAAAGGTTACAGAATCAGAGTGTGTACCAGTCCCAACCAAAGACAGCGGAAGCAGAGTCTACTCCAGAATCCTTGAGAAATGATCCAGGGGAGGAATCCAAATTCAGAACATCAACACAGCGAGAAGTGAACTGTAGCATACACGCCTCTTCTCCTGGAGGCAGTCCCAGGGGAAGCCCACTTCTCCACCCCCCGCCCCATCTGGGGCCTAGTAGGTCAACAAGCAGAAAAGGTTCAGCTCAGCACAGAGGCAGCAGAGATGACAGTTTGGATTGGTTTGACTCCCTGACAACTCATCATATTGAACCGAAAAACACTGTTTCTGTGTCTCCTGGTCCCAAAACAACTGGGGGGAAAATGGCTTTGAAAAACTCCAACAACAAGCCTCAGGGTAAGGAAGAGAGTGAGCCAGACCAAAGGAGCAAGTTGGAAACTGGACGGCTTCCAGCACCAGGAGAGACAGAAGCTCCATTGAGGCCGGAGAGCGTTGAGGGTAAAAGGGAAACAAATGCAGCGGTAGTTTCCGAAACAGTGGGAACTGCTGGCGAAGCGGACTCGGTGCTGGTTCATCGTGTCCCCAGGAAACTGCACAGGCTGCGCAGGGAGAGGGCCCAGGGGTTGTGCCGAAACCCCGCCAGGCCGCCTTCAGAGCCCACAGTCCCTTCTCCCCCTCCGTCCATCCCTGTGCACAGCCCAGAAAGAGCGCTGGGAACTCCCGAAAGGAAGAAGCAGAAATCCCTCCCTCCGGTGAAAGCGCCCGAGCCTGCAAGTGCTGAGAGCCCAAGTCCCCCTGTGGCCAAGCTAGCAAAATTTACTTTCAAACGGAAGTCAAAACTGACCCACTCCCCTGGAGACCAGAGCCGTGCGTCTCCTGGCACAGCTGACGTGGCAGTGCAGGATCCCAAAGCTTCCCAGCACGGAACACGACGGGAGGCAGCGCTGCCTGTGAAGGGTCCAGAGAAGGTGACCTCTGCCTCAGGAAACAGAGACTTGGGTCTGCTGCAGGGGAGGGCAACAGAGGTGTCTCGGCAGCCACCAGAGAAAGGCGGGTCGAGAGGGGAGAGGGCATGTGCCCCTGGAAAGAGAGTTATTCAGCCTGAATTTGAGCTTTGGCGCGAAACTGAGCATTTGCGTCGTACTTGTGAAAAAGACAAAAAGGAAGAGCTTTCGTGCACTAACAAAAGCGGCAAGCTTCATGCTTGCACGTTAGCCAAGTTGGCCAACTTCTCCTTTACGTCCACTGAATCCAAATCTGCATCCCTGCCTCCTTCTGAAAGTGAGAACTGGGGTGAGAGAGGCCCAAGCCCTCCTCCCACCACCACAGCTACAGTGCTTGGCAGGAAAAGGAAAACTTTTCAGTTGGAGGGGTCCACTGAGAGGTTCAGTCTTTCTAAAAAATCTCTCTTTACTTTATCAGAACTAGAAGATGAAGCATTAGATTTTGATTGGGATGAAGAAATGAGAAAAAAGTCATAATCATGAAAAGCCTGCTGGTCAAATTTCATCCCAACTCAACACAGGATATCTACGTGGCGCTTGTGTACGTGCAGAACTGTTGGCCATACTGAGTGCCTTTCTGAATACCAGGTCCCCAGTCAGGTTTTGTAATTTCAGGTTTATCCTCATGACTCAAAAAGCTGTTTAGTCAGTGTCGGTCAGTGTGATACCAGCATTTGAATCGAATTAATTGACACTGTGTGTAATTTTGCAGAATGGAGTACTTGCATTCCTGACAATGCTTCAGTTTGTTTTGTTTTGTTTTTAAGGGTGGGTCTTCCCAGGATTCCTCCCTTCACACCCTCAGGAACAAATGTCAGGACAGTAGCACTCTTAGAGCCAACAGGTTAGGTGAACTCTTCTATTTTTTCCTTTTTTTTAATCCCATGATGTGCCAAGTGTGGTGAATATTAGGATTTGACAAAATCATATGATTTTTCTAATATAGTTTTTGTGTTTATTATGTGTAAGATTGACAGTGACTAATACTTTTCTTTCTTTGGGAGTCACCCTCACAATTCCATTGTATTCCTAAAGATCTGACAGCCGGTCAGATAGAAGCATTCTGAAATACTGCCCTTTTGAGGTTTCCTTTCCTCCTTCAGCCAACATTGTGTACTTCAAATTCTTTTTATCTTTGGGGACCTCCTTTCAGCACAGCTTAAGTCCTGTAGTTGGAAGGAAAGAGTGTGTAGTAGTCTCAGTCATCTATCATGGCATCTGCCCAAGTAGTTAATGTGGAAAAGTGATTCCTCCTGTTATGACTTATTTGTCTTTAAACCAAGCAAGTGACTGTATTTGGTAGTAATAGACAACTCAAGCTTTGTCTGTCTTGAGTCCTTTAAAGTCCCTCTTCCTTTGGATTCTAGCAGGGGCTCTCAGGAATCCATAATTATAGGATTTATCTTTTGAAGTGTGACTCTAAAAAAATAATAATAATAGATTCTTTCATTGAAGGACTTTTAGACATGAAGAATACTCAAAATTATATGTACTTCGTTTAATGATCATTTCATTAAATTTACACAGAAAAAAATAGGAACCCTAATTTTTCTTGCGCATTTATTTAAACATTAATTTATTTAAATAACAGACCAAAATTGATTAAATTTTCTGAAAAAATTTAAGCTATGAGTACAAATTTAGTATGCATGGGCCTTTTGAAATCTTTAAACACCTTAAACAGCTGATAAAAGACATACATAAGCAGTGACTTAAAATGTATTATTGCACATTCTTTTAAACCTATTCTAAAACATCAAGATTATGGTTTCGATAATTTCTTTATTATTTCTGTACTTAATAACTCTCTAGTTAGTATGATTCTTAATGTGATATATTACTAATCTTTTGATACTAGTACTTTCCTGGGTTTTAGTATTTTTACTAGAACTAAGGGAAAAGGAAAGGATCTGGGTTATTGACGAGTTGACTCTTGGTCTGACTGTGTAGACTAGGGCAATTCAAACCTGAGCCAGTGTTGAGCTGACTTGTTTTGTTTTTTGTTTTGTTTTGTTTTGTTTTGTTTAAGGTAAACTTCTAAATACCTCTCTTGAATTTTTTTATCTTTGAAACTTTGTATCTTTTGCAGTAATGATGTATTAAGCTTTACATGGCTGATAGCACTTAACCTCTTGGCTTATCATTTAGGGTGTTTAGATTGTTCTTTTTTGTCATTTAAGATGCTTGTACTCCTTATTGGGAATCTTGATTCTAGAACTTTCATTTCTTAGCAATGAGGGATTTAGCTTCTGTAGTTAACTTGTCTCTTAAGGACATTGAGTAATTCATATTTTAAAATACAGTGTTGAATTGCCTCCCTTTCCTAGTTATTGTATATGACCACCATGTCACCGCCTACCTGGTTATTATTTGTACTCACCGTACATCCTATTATTTGTCCTAATAAAGCCCCCCTGTTGTTTATTTTAGTAACTTCTGCCGGAATCATTTGGCCAAGTTACAAGTTCCATGTGTTTATTCTTCAGTGCTTACCCAGATAAAAATAACTATATATGTAAATATTGTAAACAGACATGATTGTTAGAATAAAATATTCAGTGTGAACACTCCCCTACTTATTAAAAATTAAACTTGTATCACCCTGGTTTTGTGCTTGTATTTGATACTCAAAGTCTCACAACTTGGTCAGTAGGAAGTCCCTTTATGCTGATGCCAGTGTTCTTTTATGACTGACATTGCTAACAGCATCCATGCTGTCTGAAAACAAGAGCATGTTCTCGATCCCGTTTGATATTTTTCCCTGCCTTGAAGCACAGAATCAGCTACCCCTAAGGCGCTGTATTTCCTTTAGAATCTAATGGTGTTAGAGGCCAACTATGTGATTTCACAACTAAGACGTTCTCTTACATGGCATTTAGTGTGTAGACCAAGGTAGCACATAGGTGTCTCAGGAGAAATATGTACAGTCTCAGAAATCAGATTTCTGGTCAGTAAAGTGTAAAAATAACCTTTAATTCTGTATCAGCGTATCATAATATTTTTATTTCAGGCCAGTGAACTCCTTGAAAACATTTTAATAATGTAAAATTATTTAAGCACAATGAAAGCTATACGTATTTTTTTTGTGTGAGAGAACAAAACCAGATACTTAATTTTCTTATAACTATATAAAAGAATTGAGTTTTCTGATACAGTAAAAGATACACTCTTCAGTGTATATGTGGTAATCTAAAATTTATAATAGGGATTTTATTGTAATTTTTGGTGCTTCATAAAAATAAAACAAGCATATTATTCTGTTATCTTTAACTCTGTCTGAGTTCAACCAAACTTTAAACTTTTTCTGAAGGTATACCAAAACTTTAACAATAGAGATATTTTCTTGGTTGACAAATTTTAATGCCAGCAAACCTGTGTATTCTTTATGTGTATATGGTACTTGATTTCTGTGCCTTTCCCAAGTGCTTAGCCTGCCTACCTGGTGAAATTACTGAAAAACCAATTCTAGGGAAAATCTTTAGAGCTCACTTTTAGCCAATGCACAACATTTGGGAGTTCAGATCAACATACCCTAAAAGTCTAGGTCACAAGGGACTACCCTGGATCCAGGTTAATCTTTCAGATGCAGTTTATCAGACAGCCTCATTCCAAATTTCACCAACTCAATGTGGAACACTAGGCCAGTGCTGTTCCTCAGTGTTCAGAATAACATTCCTGTCTGCTTTTCATGTTTTTAACACTCAACAAAGATAAAAGAAGGCTCCTGGTTCACATTAATACTCATTCCAATAGGGATTGTGCTATTTGCGCCCCATCTTGCAGGTGGCATAGCGCCCCAGGTATGTGGGGAGCCATTACCCACACCCATCCCATTCACCGTCACTCAGAGTTCATGCAGGAAACACATCCCCTTTCACTGAGAGGACGTACACGGGAAGCTGGTGACTGCCCCCGATGAAGCCCTCTTCTGTTCGGGGGGGGTGTGCATGTGTTTGCATGCACATGTGTGCATGGGCCTTAGTGAATCTGAAAGGTGTGTGACGCTTCCTTCAGTAGCCCAACTGTCTTGTGATCACAGGTTGTTCTGTTGTTCTTATAGCAGGTCCACTGTCTCCCTTCTTCAAGGCTTAAAATATGTCTAAAGGTAATATTTGTGGAAGTGACTTAACAGTAATGCTAAATTAGGCTTAAACTGATGATATACATATGTAAACACTCCAATACAAGCCAAGAAAGGAAACAGGATATACACACTGAGCCTGATCTCACCAAGACGTAGGGAGTAAGTTATTTATCCTGTGAGCACAGATGGTTTTTAGGCTGCTCTTTATGTTTGGTTGGAACCTTAAACCTTGGCCAAGATGAACCACCAGAAAGCAAGCATTTGAAGTAGATGCATTTTTGGGGGGACAAACTTGGTTTAATTTAGGATTTTTATTACAATCCAAGCCAGTGTTGAAATATGTTGGTTAATATTTCCAATCTAACTTTTTCAGTGCCTGCTGACGCATAAAGGAGATGGGGTAGGGTAGCAAAACTGGGAATCAGGCAAGTTGGGTTCTAGAACCAAATGACTACTGCTTGCAGTGTGCCCGCCCTGTCTTCAGTGATCTCGTCCACAACAGCAGAGGATTAGGCATTTCTAAGTCAGATATATATATTTTTAGATTTAAACATATTTAATGCAACATTCTTCATTAAAGTTGACATCTGAAAAAAACCATGCTAGTGAATCTGTACTCTGTGAGTGATTGATAACTTCAAATGTTAACTTTTTGGTAGGATGTAAAAACAATTGTAAGAAAAAAGATTGTTTAGAGAAGGAAAGAGAACAACCTTACAAGTATTCTTAGGTAGCAGTGCTTTCCTAACATCAATAATTCAGCAAATATGGGGGGGGGTGCATGTGTTTGCATGCACATGTGTGCATGGGCCTTAGTGAATCTGAAAGGTGTGTGACGCTTCCTTCAGTAGCCCAACTGTCTTGTGATCACAGGTAAGTTGAGTGTAACAGGGCAATGCAGCAGAACAACTATATGAACAGGTGGTTTGGGCTCTGGGGTCACATTGTGAACCCTGCAGGCACTCCTGCCCTCTCTTTGAGCCAGGGATCCCTGAGTCAGGTATTCTTGAGTTACAAAAAAGGAAAACCTAGCAGGCTAGCTGAAGTAAAAGTGGATTTCCCCTAAGGCTACATCAGGGAGTCTCATTAGGGGCAGGAAACAAAGTCTAACCNTGGATTTCCCCTAAGGCTACATCAGGGAGTCTCATTAGGGGCAGGAAACAGTCTAACCAGGTTACAGAGCCCTGGAACTGGGAAGTTCCCTCAACCTCTCCTGGGTCCTCAAGGTCCCTTGCCACTGCTTCTCTTGGTGAGTCACTCCCATTTACTGCCCCTCTCCAGGGACCTGGAGAAACCAGTGTGAATCGGTTGCCCCCTGCCAGGGATCAAGCCTGAAACCCAGGCATGTGCCCTGACTGGGAATTGAACTGCGACCTCCTCGTGCATAGGTCAACACTCAACCACTGAACCACACCGGCCGGACAAGATCATCTTTTTAACTGCCCACAAAGCAGGGACTAGATCTACATGAGGAGAGGGAAATGCGTAGGTGACATATGCCATCAGTTGGCTAAAATTCACTCATAAAAATTCTCCACAGGCTTGGACACTTCTTACACTGACAGTGTCATTGTCAGCTCAGACCTGCCCAGCACTTTTCAAAATGGTGGGCTTTTTCCTTGCCCCAGGGTATGGTTACCCAGGTAAGTGCCTATTGGAGACAGACGGGCAGTTATTGTCACGCAAGCTTGCCAAGGTGTTGCGGGGGATCCTTTCTGAGGAGCTGGCCTTTCCTTTAGTCGGTGGATTCTGGGTCCAAAAATTAGCTCAGGCCCAGAAGCTGTTCATAGAACTCCGACTTCATTGGCACAGCTGCCTCAGCCTCATGCCTGGCCCCTGCCCCTCCCTAATTTTTCTTTTTCAATTTTTCTTTTCTTTTTGTATTTCTTTCTCTTGGCAGTACAGATCAGTCCATCAGAATCACCTGGGGGTTGTTAAAGATTGCTAACCCCTACACCCAGAGTTTTTAACTGAGTAGGCCTGGGTGGGGGCCTGAGGATTGGTTTCTAATAATTTTCTAGGTGCTGCTTGTCAACATAAGAAACATTAAAACCTGTGAAGATTTTTTAAAAATGTATCTTTGTTGTTGAAATTATTACCCATGTCCCCTTTATTTCCCCACTGACCCCTTCTACCCTGCACCCCTCCC